GAAATTTACTTCCTAAATATGCCTATGATTAGTCTATAGTTTACTACAATGCCTAGAAGTAGGCCTAAATATTTATCACCCATATTTCTCAGTCTGAAAACCTTCCCACTCCTAAAAGGTAGGCTATAACAGTGCAAGAGAAAGTGCAAGTCTCTCCAACTCTGCTCTCTTCAAACTACATCTAGCATATTTGCTGATATAGCCCAGTAATACAATATAGGGGCCATTCGAGAATCTCCAGTAATTTAACCTATTAGTTAAGTTATTTTTGTGCATTTGATATTGCCTATTGGGGGCAAAATTGCTGGGAGCATGACTGGCAAGTGACCTGCGTCACATACGCCTAAAATAACATTGCTGGACTGCGGTTGGGTTTGGGAACAGTCCTTGCAGTAGCGGTAGCGAGTCGGACAGAAAGGTGGGAGTAGAATTAAAAAATAGGGCCCGCGCAGACCTCTACTGTGCACCATGACAGTGAAGCTTGTAACGTTAGAGTTGTTTATTACTGTGTCAGTGTGAAAAGTAGGGAATTAGCTAGGGAAACTGAGAGATGAATAACGTTACATTGCCATACTGACTAATAAAACTCACATTGCACTGAAAAAACATCCGAATATCAATATTCAATCATTTGGCCGATGGTTTCATCATTTGATTCAGGTCTACTGTGATTGAGGCAGAAATAATAGATAACGTTAGCCAACTTTTGGCCAGCTCTCTAATGGTACATCAACTGGTGAAAGCTAGCCAAGTTCATTCACTTCTGAAACAGACAAAACAAAGGCAACAAAATGTTTCCGTACAAACAACAGCTGTTAGATAGTAATAATAGCCACTTCATATCTCTATCTGACAGATAACTAGAGGCTAGAGCTGACCTGGCCGTGGTAGCTACTAGCTAGCATAGCTTATCCATTCATCTCAGTCGACAGGGGATGAAACATTAGCTAACGTTACATGTCAGTTACAATACTAGCTCAGCACCGCAAATAAACACTAGTTTAAAAAAATTATGTTACGTTAAACAGCAGTTACCTTGCCAGCTACATCAGTCAACTAAAGAGTAGCCAGTTTCTGCTCTGCTTGCTTTTACAACTCAGAGAAAGAGCGCAACACATAGACACTGATCTATGCTCAACTCTCTGGTGCTGGTCCAGCCAGCGATCCTAAATCCAGCCGGCTGAAGACTCCAAACAGCCTACCCGACCGCTCAGAGGTGTCCTCCTGGCCCTAAAGCACACCGTTGCCGCTTTTTGTATCACATTGCAACGATAAAACTGGGGGGGCCAAAAATACAATTTCAGAATGTGTGTGTGTGTGTGTGTGTGTGTGTGTGTGTGTGTGTGTGTGTGTGTGTGTGTGGGGGGGGGGGGGGGGGGGGGGACATGACCCCCGTCCCCGTCCCCAGTGAAAGTAGCGCCCATGCTTGTAGTACACTACTACTAGGTGAGATCACCATTCTTTGAGATGGGGATGCACTGCTTCTTAATGCATAGATGGAAATAAACAGTTTCTACTGGGTGTTTGAGTCTCACTGTGCTGAAAGAATCACTGGGTCAGAAACATTATATTTCCAGTTTATTATCAGGTTGTTTTTGCCAAAGTACCATAACGGTTTATTGTGGTAACTTCAACTCCATTAACATACACAAATGAATACGATGTTTTGGTCAGGATCTACCTAAGATTATTAGTTATTTTACTAATCAAACGCTCCCCTCAAAACAATAGCTTCGAAACACAAAAGTTGATTTACAAGGAAAGGATGATATTATACCTATATGGGAATTACAAAGTCAGCTGGGTATCTGAAATATGAACACGTACTGAGAGCAAACAAGAACCCCAGTCCAAAGCTGCCCCTTCTGCTGAACACTAAAGACTGAAGACAAAAATCTGTCACGCAGATCACACAAATAACAATAATTTATTACTTGTGGAAAATCTGGTCAGTCCCTAGCTCCAAAACGTTGGAAATGACTGGGAAAATCTCCCAACAAAGAGCGGAACAAGGATTTGGCACATCTGCACAGCGTCAATCTTTTCACAAAACCTTCTCAGCACATCAGAAATGGTTGTCAGGATATATTCAAGAAGGCTATTTCCTGGCTTTTAAGACTTCTCTGTAGATGACAAACACAATGTAGAAAACGGAATACTACAGTGGTTTCTCTCGCCCAAAATTAGAAAATTGCTTTCATAGTATGTATTTTCAAAGTATAATGTCTACACCATAGTTATACATTTTGAAAAGCCCATTACTCTGCAAAAATACTACATATGTAACAAGTGTTTTACTGAGGACCATAAAATAGTTGATTTGTGGGAGCAATTATTGCATTGTTGTTTTGTTAATAGCTTTGTTTTACTCTGGTTCACAACCACTAACCCCAGAAAGAGCATAGGTTATTGCCCTAAACTGACCCAGAGCCCAAGGTCACACTGAAGACAGACTGATTGCCTCCCTTTGAGATTTGAAGATGTCGGCTTGAAAACAATTATCCAGTGATGGATGCCCAGTCCAGAGACTAGGCTGAGGATTTAATGAAAATCATCAACAGGCAAGAGGGAGCTTTAAAAAATAAACTCACCCCACATTCAACCTGGTCTCAGGGCAATTTGTAGGTACATTTTACACAATGTTCTCTCTAAGCTGCAAGCATGTGCAACTCCCCTGGACTGTGTTTAGGCTACAGTATGAGCAGTCAAAGTAGATGGGCTGGTTTTGAGATCAAAGTGAGAGCTTCATGTAGCCACATGTGCACATTTGTTCATATTCTTTGCTAGTTAGTGAGTTATTAGCCCAGTTATAGCTAATTTCTAGTCAACAATGGGGGAGTGGTGGCTTCCAACAAGAGCACAAAATGTGTGCATTTCTAGCCATATTTGAAAGCGAATCAGGTAGAGCTTTACTATGTCTTAAAGGGGAAGTGTTGAATTTTGAGACGGTCTTGAATAAGCTAAGTAGCCAATAGGCAATAGTTTAGCATAATTTGTCTGATTCTCTCTAATAATGGTATGGGAATAATAATGCATTTTATTTTGTAAAGTGGGTTCTTGCATCAGACACAACATTTTCAGTCATCTTGTCTGAAGGACAAGTGGATAAAGATGTTAATGTAAAGCCCTTTTTCAAAAGTCTCATGGAATGTAGGCATTGAACACCACACATTGGCTGCTACTGAATGATATAACAGCTATTTCCATGTTAAAATGTTATGGGATGCGTTTTCCTCCATTGTTTTTGATGGTAGACCCACTCTGGTAGGCCTACATTATGATCAAATAGCCACAGTAGCTTACTTGGCCACTGTTAAAACTAACTTAAAGCGGGTACAACCTCAGTGTTCACAGTAAACGTGCTCCGCTCTGCAGACCTGAAATTTGCTCAGTGCCTAATTTTCTTAGGGAAAATTAATTTTACGTAAGAGGTTAGGAGAACTAAAACGACAAACATTAGGAGAATTTACGTAAAAGGAGAATTAGGTTAAAGTTAGAAAAAGGGTTAGCTAAAACGCTACAGTTGTCTTCGACGCGACTCGAACACGCAACCTTTGGATTGTGAGACTGTCGCGGTCCCCCGACAAACCACCTTACTCAAAGTAACTAGACCATCAGTCCATATCATGTCTTGGAGGTGCATAAAAATATGTATAGTATGCTTCGAATGGCTCTGAGGCCAGGCTGCGCCATTCAACATGTTCAAGACATTAAATATGAACCATGTCATTGACACAGGAGGAATAACGCCATGTAAGTGAAGAATTAAGTGTGACCACTGGGAGGAAACAGATGAAGGTGGAAGTGCATAGGCCTACTGTACAATAAGCAAATATGAGATTGGAGACATTTCCCTTTGTTGTAGTTGTCTAGACTTGTTCATCATGTTTGATTGATTTGTCTTTAATAATATCCATTAAGTAGTAGACACCATCACTCAATGTGTAGCTATATACCACCTTCATGACACTAAGATTGTGATATTCCCATTAAAGATTGTAAACCGGTAAGACAAACAGAAAGCTTCATGGTTTATATGGCATAGGATCCCATATCAAAGGTGTGACAATTCTTACATTCTCCAATCCTCAACAGAGCTGACAGCTGTATTCAGTTGAAGTCTGACAAAAAAAACCATCAAATTAGTTCATTAAAATATGTTTTATAACTAAACATTTCTATATGAATAAAGACAAGGGTACTCTTAATATAGCCCAAATTAAATACAAATAGAATTTCCTCTCAAAATGTAGGCTTATAGCGCCCTCTTGTGACTGTGTTGAAAATCAATTTACTCATTATGGTAGGCCTAATACTGCAATGTGACAAATCATATTCAACAAGAACATTGGGTCTTTTTATAACTTTTTATTATTTTTTTTGACAAATATATATGAATGCTTAACTCTTAAGGAGTCAGTAATTGGAGAATTCTTCACAGAAAATTAACTCTCCTAAAGACCTAGGAAATAATCATAAAACATCTACATGACAGAACTAACCATTTCTATTTGTGCCAAGGAAAATGATACAATGATACAACTTATTAATTGACAGTGAATTAATGCAAGTGATTCTTAAATTCAGTCCAATGTTATTTGGTGCTGACAAAAATAAACGTTATTTCAAAAAGCCTGATGGGACTGTGTCATTTTCAGACATCTATATTCTTATGGTTCATTGGGTTGACTGTTAATTATGCATAAAGGCACACACGCATTGGTAACCCTCAGGTGAGCATTGCTTTTTTTGGCAAGACATTGGTCCCATTAGGCAGTACAATTATCCAAACAACTTAAACAAAAAATATATATGCTTGCAGGAAAACAAATGACCAAAATATTTAGATCATTCATGTATGCAGGGAAATGTCTTCTAGTAAGTTAAAAATTGTATTGAGACCTAAATTAGGTTGGATATTTACTCAAGGATACAGTGGGTCAGCAGTATAGGACACCAACTCAGAAACCTGCTTGAGAGCTTGAGGGAACACCAACTTTTTACAGAGGATGAAGTTCAGAAATGGACCTGGTCTCCTGCTGTATGAACCCCTGGAGGCTTCTCTTTCCCTGCCTGAAGGTACTCTCCCTCCGGGAAAATGGTAGTATGACAAGGAGCCTTAGGAGGGTTTCAATGTTACTAAAGCTCCTAATGTCTGATGCCTTCAGAGTGTCGAGCACAGTGGCTGGAAGATACCCGGACATGGGATCCAACCACTTCTCTCTCCAAGACTTCATCTCTGTGGGGAGTGATGCCAGGTCAGGCATGTCGTCTTTGTACATGCGGAAAACATGGGCATTTACACTGCTGTTTTCCACCTTTGACATGGCATAAGGCACAATCTCCAGGCACCTCAGGGTACTGAGGACCTTCTCTGTGAAGAGCTCACTGACCTCAACAATGGAGTGCTCTACCAACTTCTGACTCACCGCTATTTTGTAAAACTGACTCAGGGGTTCTAGAAGCGCAGAGTGCAACAGCGTTATCTGCAGCTTGGAAGCTAAAGTGACAGCTTCCTCAAACCAGGCATTGTGATGTGTGTCGATATCACTCTTCAATTCATTGAGGGAAGTTAGGAGGTCAGGCAAGCTATTCATAGCTAGCAACACATCTAGAGGCTTGCCCTGAAGAGATTGGCTCAGCTTTTTGGTCAAACTCAGGACATTCTTCAACACGACAGCCGAGAAGATGAACTCAAAACTTCTGACTTTATTGAAGTACAGCAGTGCTTGGCCAGTCCCTGAGCTAGTCTCCTCACTTTTCAGCTCATTCAAGCACAGCATGACTACCTCTAGAAGCTCTACCATCAACTCATGCATATCATTACTCTTCTCCCAGTTCTTGATAAGCTTGTCCCTAAGCTCATTACCCTTCCCCTCATTATGTTGGAACATGGCAATGATCATGTCTTCCAGTTTGGTCTGTCGTTCTGTGTCCTCTGTGAGCCATTGTAACATGTTTTCTACAGATGCTGCACAGTCTGCTGCTGCCACTGCAGGAGATGACCTGGCTAGCCACACATTCAGAGACACCGCAGAGCTGACTGTTCGCATGGCCAGGGGGTATTTCTGGGATATTACAGCAGAGACAGCCCTCATCTGAGACCCTACCTCACCAACACTTAGCAAAGCCTGCCCTCTACAGTACTCCATGTTGAGCCCCAATTTCTCTGATAGGGCTATTTCAATAGCATCAGCCAAGACAGCAGTGTCCTGGCTGAACGGGATGAAAGCTACAGTCTCCTCGCACTGAGTGTCCTGTTTGTCCAAGTACCTGATGCACAGGGGGACGTAGAGCTGTCCCTCAATCTCAACCGCCCGTTCCGTTATTATTGTAAAGAACTGTGAGTCCCAGAGTTCCTTGAGGATTTCCTCACGCACAGGTGGGTCGTAGAAAGACATGGCCTGCTTCAAACCTACGACCCCATCCTCTACTATCACAACACCGTCCTCTGCCTTCACGCCGTCCTCGGCTAACACGATGTCCACTGCTTTCACATTGTCCTCTGCAAACACAACTTCCTCTGTTATCACGCAGTCTTCTACTTTCACGCCGCCCTCTGCCACACCGCCGCCCTCTGCCACCCTGCCGCCCTCTGCCACCATAAAGTCCTCTGTGATCACAATGTCCTCTGTGATCATAATGTCCTCCTTTATCACAGCATCTTCCACTTTCACGTTGTCCTCTGCCTCTTCCTCTGCCTTCAGCTCTCCTGCAGGGAGTTGCTCTGACATACCAGCTTGGTGTTCCTCAACTGCCTGCTCATGTCTTCCATCAGGGTTTACATCCAAAGCTCTAAAATCTAAACAGAAACACACAAAGTTAATTCAACCACCTCCCCCCTTTCCCTCATTTTCACTCTCCTAAAAAATGATGCTTTATGATATCATATTCTACATGAACCATGTAATAGCACGTCATGATGAATGTTCATATGATTTAAAACTTTCACTTACCACTTTCCAGCTTCAGACCTTGAATTTGTTTCTTCACCTAAATCATATAACAGAAATCAATACATTTACAACACAATACATTTAATATGCATGTCTTGTCAAGTGGTGAGTGGTGTTGATGATGTATTGTTTCCTGTTATTATCGGTCTGTAAAACTGAAAATGTATAAATAAAATATAAAAATGTTTTATGCATACCTATACCAATAAAATCAGTCATAAATACATCAGCATTGGAATGCTAAAAGGAGTATTGCTGTTAATGTACCTGCTCAAGACATGGGCTGCTTTCTGGGTCAACTTCAATGCACTTCTCAATTACCTCCCCTAGTCTTTGAACAGTTGGGTAATGCATGAGAAGCATCACAGTATCTGTTTTGCTGCCCTTGCAGACAGTGTTCTTCAGCAGAGCTCTCATGGAGTTCAGGGTGGTCTTCATCAGGTCCCACTCCATACTGACGCTGGGTAGAACAGCCACCAGTCTGAGCAGCCTGGTCACCGTGGGATGGCGTTGAGACTCAGCGTGAAGCAGTATCTCAGAGATAGACGCTGGTGGTGAGACGTCTTGATATTTCTCTTTCCAGACAGAGGCCCAGTTACTGATATCCTGCTCTACTGTGTCAGGATCAGGGAGGTCGGACAGGTAGAGACTGTATAGCTTGTCTGTGGACTCTGCGCGGATTGGCTCTGAAATGGGCTGTGGATTGCAGGTGGGGAGCAGAGACAAGATTTTCAGGGCTTTTAAGTGACTGTCGGAGAAGTTGTACTTCATTTCATCAACGAGGCTGCTCAGTAGAGGAACACTCAAGTTGTCCTTGTAGTACATCTCTGGAGACTCGTAAGAGTTAGCTTTCTCTGGGAAACACACTTGCTGAGGGGCCACCTTGGATGCTAGTTGGAATGCTTCCTCAAACCAAGGTGAATGTACAGTGCTTATGTTCTCCAGCATCTTGTTCAGTGTCTCTATGATTGGTACGATCTTCTCCACTTCACAGATGATGTCAGCAGGGTTACCACAGCGGAAGACAGTGCTGCAGTTCCGAAGAGGAGCACAAGCGTTCTTCAGGATCACAAGTGTGACGACAAAATCTGTATCTCTCAAAGCAGTGGCGAGGACCTGTGCATGTAGCGACATAGTTCCAGCACCACGGGCACTAACTGAATCCAGGCAACTCAAGACTCCCTCCAATGTGTCAACTAGGAGATCAAAAAAGTCCTCCCTCTTCTTCCACCTGGAGCAACAGGTTTCTGGAATCTCCTCCAAGGCCTCCCGAGGTGTATTAAGTAACCCATCCACAGCCTGTGCTAGCTCTGCCTCTAGCCCAGGTGACCGGTCAAAAAACAGTAGGAGGTCTTCCACAATTTGCAGCATCTTTGTGACAGGTGGGCAGTGTACGCTTCCTGCTAGCCAACAGGCAAGACCACAAGACTCACTGGGTGTGATGACAGACAGAGGATAGCTCTCGAGGAACTCCAAAGACATCTTCTTCAGGCTGTGACAACCATAACCCATGCGCATTAATGCTTGTCCACGGCACTGACTCATTGGCAATCCCCAGTCTTCAGTTAGAGTCACAGAGAGATTCTTGGCTTGAACATCAACGTCACAGGTTTCAAAAAATCGCAAAAAACCAATGAGCTCGACCTTGGGGGCACATTCCCCAACATATCTGACAAAGACGGGCAGATAGCTCTTATTAGCAATTACAACTGGTTTATCTGTGATAAGAGAAAAGAAGGGGGACTCCTGTATTTCTGAGAGTATGACTTCCCTGATGGATTTTGTAAGCAGCTGTACCATTTCCTCCTCTCCTACGTTAAGCGTGAACTTGCCATCTCTTCCAAACCAGTGGCACATGCTGAGATCCTGGATGAGAAGGTCTTGATCTTCTTTGGAGAGTTCGGAAAGCTGGCACTTATTTTTCCCCAAACGTGCAGCCAGTCTGAACACTGCTTCCAAACTCTGCCGATTATCTCCAGTGTGCCCATTCTCATCCACCGCTTTAATTTCCTGGTCCTTTTTCTTGTCAGAAGACTGTTTATTCTCAAGCTCCTCTGCTCCATCTTTGTCATGATCCACTGAAAATATAAAAAAGTTGAATTAGTAAATTCTATTTACTCTACCATAGAGTTCATGTCATTAAAATAAAATGGAAAAATAATTGAGAATAAAATTAAGGTGATAGTAAGGTGAATGAGAACAAGTGTTTCACTTGACAAAACCTGGGCCCATCCCTATTACCAACATATACTAAATGGTAAGTGTTATTACACAGTTATTAGCTAATAAATACTAAATGATCACACAGGGATTAATTGAAACAAAGCTTTGCTATCACATACCTTCCATGTTGACTTCAGAGTTCTTCATCAGACTTTTGGATTCCTTATCCTGCGAATTTGTTTTTCAATAGACATTATTAAAAGGAAATAATATATTTAAAAAGGACAACATCTCAGTATAGGCTGCTCTGAAAGACTGCATAACATATTAAACAAAACAATAATCATGTAAATGGATTTTGAAAACTTACCAAGCAGATACCCTCTAAAGCCTGGGGAGTGACCTTCAAGCACTTAGTCACCATCCGGTCCAGATCTCTGCTGAAGTTGGTTCCCACCTGCAGCATGGCTAGACATGGGGACCTGTCCTTGGAGCTGGTGTTCCTCAGGTATTCCTGGAACATCTTGTGGCGCATTGCTTCCCCACAGTTCTCCAGTACCGTACTGGGTAACACAGACATGATCCTCAGCAGTGTGTTGATGTTCCCAAAGTATTGCATGAGTGGCAGACGGAGAGTCTGAAAGATGGTGTCTGGGATGGTCACTGATGCAACTTTGGTCTTCCACTTCACCCTCCAGCAGCACAACTCGGTGAAGAAGTTGTCGGAGTCAGGCAGATCACTGGCATAGAGAGGAGGCTTTGACCTCAGGATCTCAAACATGTAACTCACAGTCACAGAGCAGGGAACCAGGGATAGGAAGTTTAAAGCCTCTTTGTGGTCCTCAGAGAAATGATCCTTCACAGCATTGGTGAGGTTGTCCACTAGGGGCACACTCAGTGCATCTTTGTAATACAGAGCTGGCTTCATCATGCTATCCCTGGCCGCAGATGAATTATCAGGCACTTTTATCTGCACAACCAGACTCTGGGCAAGGGCACAGGCTTCGTCGAACCAATTCTGGTGAAAGACCTTGATGTTTGTTTTGACCCTGTTGAGAGTAGCCACTATACCACTGATCTGGCAGAGCTGGGATGCTGCACTGAAATGATCCTTCTGGAGTCCTGCACTTAGCTCCCTGGTGAAGGATGAGGCATTCTTCAGGGCTACCATGGGCACAATGAAATCAAAGTCCCTTATCAAACACAGCAGTGCTCCAGCTTTTAGAGAGAGTGAGGATTTCCATCTCTGTGGGTTGCTCTTGATTTTCTCCAAACATTCAACAAGGGGCTCAAGCATCTGTACAAAGACTTCATAGGAATCGTGCTTCTCTTGCCAGACGGTACAGAACTTCCCCTGCAATTCTTGAACCTTTTCATAGCTTTCCCTAAGACCAAATGCAATGACATGATCCAGCTGTTTCTCAAGCATAGGCGTGCTCCCAAAAAACATCAACACCTCTTCAAAAACATCCAGCGCCCGTTTGACTGACGGCACAGGGGTGGATTTTGACCACCATGTGTTAAATGAGTAACAAGAGCTGTGTGTGCATATTGCAAGGGGGTACTTTTCCTGGATTTTGCAGGCAAAGGCTTTCAGCTTGTAGGAGACATCACCAGATCCTAGGTAGGCTTGACCTCTGCAGTAACACAAATCGAGACACCACTCTTTGGTGACAATTTCCAATATGCGCTCTGACATGGCATCACAGTCCAGATCCACATCCAGAAATCCCATGAGCTCCAATCGCATGACATCAAAACTGTCCACAAACCTGAGGAAGAGGGGAAGATGTTTTTTATCCCCTAACTTCACAACGCGGTCGATGAACAGAGAGAAAAAGGAAGTGCCCACCTCCAAAAGAATTCCCTCCCTGACTGCATCCTCGCATACTCTGAGAACTTCTTTCATCTCAGACTTCGACACATATTTCAATGTGTCTTCAACCTCGCCATCCTGTTCAGCAGAGGCCTCACCAGGCTGTCTGCTCTGGCTGTTATATGCAGCTGTCACCGCAGCCTGCAGAGCAGATTTGAGTGCCTCCTTATTAGTCTCTGAGGCCGCGCATTTCGGTTGCTCCACTCTCTCTGTCTCCATCTCTAAGGCCATGTCCTGTGGTTCTTTTTGTGTTTCTTCAACATTCTCCTTTAGAGTGTGTTGTCCATCATTCTCAGAGACTGGTTCTGAAATCAAGCAGTCAAGAGCGTGAGCCAAGAAGGATGAAGGAATAAACATAGGTATTAAGGCAAATATTTTGATATACGCAATGATGCAATAAATATAATATATATTAATAATATGATTTCCTTACCAGCTGCAGAGTGCATCTCTATCACATCATCATCCTATGAACATAGAAAATAAAAGCAAATGCAAATATTAGTAAAATAACAACAAATAAGTTAAGAACTATTCAACATCCACCTACGGTAACAATTTTTTTATGTTTTTCAAATGATTTTAAATCTTCAGTTTATGTGATTGCTAAGCAAATACTTAAATTAAAAACACATGAATAACTTTTATATTAAAATAAACTTACCATATGCAACAAGTGCAATATGTCAGGATGCTTCTCCACATAGGACTCCACCATGTCTTCAACATTGAAGTGCACGTCTTGATTGACATAGACAAATGCCATGTTGCACAGTCTCTGATCCTCCGGTGTGGCTTTCAGGTAGGACTGGTACCTCTCCAGCACCATGTTGTACTGCCCATACACGTCTGCCTCTGCGTTCACACAGGGGATGGTGCCCAGAACTCTCAGCAGGCTCTGCACGTTTGGGTAAAATGCAATGTCTGGGATCTTCAATGTTGCAAACACTGTTGTGGGTAGGATCCTCCGCTTGCTAGCATGTCTCCACTTCACCTCCCAGCAACCAAGCTCATCGTAAAACGTGTCCGGCCGGGCGAGGTTGTTCAAGTTCGCGTCCGCCACTTTATCCCTGCGGATACTGAAATTGTGGTCAGCCATATAAGACGGCACCAACGACAGCCATCTCAGAATCCGAACCATCTCAGTGCTAAACACCCTCTTCACCTCCGCAACAAGGTACTGTAAGATCTGCCTGCTCAGAGTCTCTCTGTAGAAATCCTCCAGAGAGGTTTCAGTTGCACCTGCCTCGCCAGTATCTGGTGAGCTCTCCTCAGGCCTAGCAACCTCCACTCCCAGCTTTTTAGCCCTACCCACTGCGTCAGAAAACCACTTCCTGTGGAATATTGCTATCTCCTGCAGATGTTTGTTGACCAGCTTTAAGGCGTTGGAGATTGTGTACTGCAAGGTGCTGCTGATGCTGATGGCTCCCCTGAGACTCGGGTTGAGGATGCTCACGCAGCAGAGGGTATTCTTCAGAACAACAAGGGTGATGAGGAAATTGAAGTTCTTTAGGATCGGCTTGAGCTTGGCCATCTGCTCACAAGTAGCAGTGTCTGCGTTCGCGGCCGAGCACACCTCGTTGATGCAGACGAGGAATGGCTCAAGAATGTCCAACATGGTCTGGAAGGCATCAACACCATACTCCCAGGTGTTCTGGCAAGCCTCTGTGATTCTGTCCACTTCACCTTTAAGGTGGCCGTATGATGACTTGATCTTCCCCTCCAGTCTTTCCCAAAGATCTGGGGACCCTCTAAGCATTGTGGCGACCTCCTCCACGGTGTTCACAACCTTCTGGATGGAAGGCATGGGCATGGAGCGGATGAGCCACATGTTAAAGGCGTATGGGTCACTAGGTGCTAGCACTACCTGAGGAAACTCCTGCAGAATCCTGCTGGTGAGATCTTTCATTTTCTGACATAGACTGCCTGTGGTTAGGTAGGTAAGTCCTCGACAATGCTCCATCCGCAGCCCCCACTTATTCCGTATTTCTGAGAGCAGCATGTAAAACAGACCCTCAGCATCTGCATCACAGGGCAGGAACCCCATGAGGTGTTTCTGAGGGAATCCTGCCACAGTGACTGACCTGATGAAAACTGGGATCTGATCTTTTCCCTCTATGTTTGTGACATCTTGCAGCAGAATGGAGAAAAAGCGTGCCAACCTTAAACTGTTCCGGATCTCCTCCCGCATGAGGTTCTCGCTAAACTGGAGGACTTCTTTCTGGTCGATTCTTTCAACACAGATGGGGTTGAGAGACTGTTGCCCCCTGTGGCCTCCCATTGGCTCATCAGTGTTGGGGTTTGCATCGTTCCCTATGCTGAATCCAGTGAACGCAAGAGTTTCCTTGAAGTAGACTTTAAGGATTTCCTTTGATTTGGAGTTGTAGACATCCTCTCTCCTTTGGTCCTCTTGCTGTAAATCACATGTTGCACTATTCTCTCCTGGCTTATCTTTTACCTCAGGTGGAGCATCTTCTGTAGTAAAGGAGAAAACATGGACAGGCGATAGAACAAATATTGAATAAATATGTTGAGACATTTCTACAAATATCCTATTAAAAGGGTGTACTTTTCTTACTTAACATATAGGCTATCCCAATACAGACCACATGACTATGCACTGCCATGAAGTTGACCCAATTATTTAAATGTCCTTTTGGGTAGGAAAATAGATGGCCAAATATGGAAATCTTAAATTGTTATGGTAAAACAAACAACAAATTAGTAAAATAAATGGATTTACCAAACCAATCACCTTTAGCTTTCTTCAAGGATGCAAACTCTGCCTCAGCCTAAAGGAATCAAATATATAATTAGACGTAGACTGGAGTTAATGCAATAGTATCAGATTATACACTTACTGAGATCAGGTTAGGATGACTATATTGGGTACAACATTGTGTGGTTTAAACATGACAATACTTACAGGTTCTCTTATTCTCTTATTCCTGTTGCGGCCTGATGGCTTGTTCAAATGGCTTGTAAAATCAAATATGGTTGGCATAGCACCCTCTTTCAAGGATGTTCTTAAAGTGCTCTGAAAAAGAAACAAGCAATCCTTATTATGACTATTTCATTGCCACTGTTGCATGCCTGATACTAAGAACCTCCAGGGAGATGCATTACCTTTTAATACTGATAATACCTTATTTTCAATGACGACCTACCGGTGGCCTTCAGAAAAACAGAGGAAGGCCCTCAAAATTGTCAAAGACTCCAGCCACCCTAGTCATAGACTGTTCTCTCTGCTACCGCACGGCAAGCGGTACCGGAGTGCCAAGTCTAGGTCCAAAAGACTTCTCAACAGCTTCTACCCCCAAGCCATAAGACTCCTGAACAGCTAATCATGGCTACCCGGACTATTTGCACTGCCCCCCCACCCCATCCTTTTTACGCTGCTGCTAATCTGTTAATTATTTATGCATAGTCACTTTAACTCTACCCACATGTACATATTACTCCAACTATCTCAACTAGCCGGTGCCCCCGCACATTGACTCTGCACCGGTACCCCCCTGTATATATAGCCTCCCTACTGTTATTTTATTTTACTTCTGCTCTTTTTTTCTCAACACTTTTTTTGTTGTTTTATTTTTACTTTTTTTGTTTAAAATAAATGCACTGTTGGTTAAGGGCTGTAAGTAAGCATTTCACTGTAATGTCTGCACCTGTTGTATTCGGCGCATGTGACCAATAAAATTTGATTTGATTTGATTATGATTAAGCTAGTCCCAACAAAGGTATACATGACTTAAACGTCACGTCACACAGTATGTGTGTACTACACTTTTTAATTATCCTAAGCGCGTGACAAGACGTTATTTCGGGCGTGCAAGAGTTTTTTTTTTTGTTTGAGAGCCATTAACATAAAACAATATGATATATTGCACAAGCTAGCAAACTTGGGAGGTGTTTCAATGGAACAGCCAGCAACTTAGCTAGCTTGCTAATGCTAATGAACAATAACATATCTTTAAAAGTACAGTTAATAAGGGATTGCACACTATTTAATGTAAGCCTACATCCCAAACCCGCTCATTGGGTCTATTAGCTAATGCATAGATGAATCACCTCCTGAATAGATAGTCTGTAACTCAAGACCCCTCTATTCCTGAACAATATAACTGAATGAAAGTGTAAAAGGAATGCTTTTTGGAAATATAAATGGTTTCTTCAGTAGATACTTACGTCACAACAGATCAAGGAAGGCTCAAAATGATTTGCACACATTTTGAAGGAATTGTGCAACTCCTCAGGGGTTTTTGGCTCCAAGTCAGTTCGATGACAATTATTCAACCATTGTTTACATCTGAAAGGAAGAATTCACAGGATTCAATTTCAGAACTGCTATATGGATAGGCCCCTAGCCCATGTTATACACCTTGATGAACGAGGTCTATCTGCATATCACTAGCAAACCATGTACCTGTTTAGCGACATGGAAGGTATATCCGTAATCGGTAGAACATTGTGATTAAAAAGGCATCCTTTACATCACCGAGCAGTGCCCAAGAAATAATTAAATCCAATCGTTAGATGCTACCTCCCCTCCCCAAATCAAAATCAAATATTCTAATCTAGGTAGTGTTTTCAGTAGTTAATTACTTTTTTTGCCATGTAACGGTGTGGCCAACTACTGGAAATAAACACTACTTTTCTTTTCTTTATCGGCATCTGACCTGCCTAATTCTCTCTAGAAACAGTTGTGTTTAACAGGCTAAATTACGCATTATGTTAACATCTGACTCCAGACTTATCTGTTCTTGCAATGTAGTCTGACATTTCAGATGTACATTTTAGTAATTTAGCAGACGCTCTTATCCAGAGCGATTTACAGCTAGTTCGTTCATCTTAGGATAGCTAGGTGAGACAACCACATGACTCGTTTCAGGAAACTAGGCGTATGTCACACATCACTACTTCACAGTAGAGGCATTTGAACGTAAACATTAATTTGATCAAAATGTGTTTTTTGGCAGAAATGCCTTCTGGAACATGTGAACTTTCAAGTGCCTTAATAACAAACTTGTATTCCATCTGTAAATACGAATAAAATTGTTAAATTACGAGCCTAGTTGGTTTAGCCACGGAAAGAGACGGGGATCTTCCCGCTAGCCATGATTTTCTGAGATAATGGATGGGCTGGACATGCCGGGAGATGAGTTGTCTGCCATGTAGCATGCGGCTGTCGATAACGTGAGCTGCTCAGTATGTGTTGATAGTCCTATCTACCGCGCCGTTTTTGAAAGATATAATGTTAGCCATCGAGAACTACAACAATTTTGCTACTTTTCCCATCAACATTGATGCCCTGAATTTAGCAGGCACTAACGACAAATCAGTTGGAAAAAGTGATGCGCTACTTTCTGCACACACCACGGTCAGTGTGAACCGGAGTGACTTACATTTACATTTACATTTTAGTCATTTAGCAGACGCTCTTATCCAGAGCGACTTACATTATTTTTAATTAATAATCAATCATACCCCGTGGGAATCGAACCCACAACCCTGGCGTTGCAAACGCCATGCTCTACCAACTGAGCTACCTCCCTTTGACACAACGCTGGCCAAACAAAACGGAGTTAAATGGTTCCAGTCTGCGTGAAGCGTTCATTAATGTATACGGGTAAGAATCTAGCTACATTCTCAGATATACGTTTCTAATTTTGTCAGAAGTCGTTTTCATTACAAGTTAAAGCGTACTGTTAGCTAGCTAGCGAACGTTAGCTTGCTGGCTCGCTAGCTAACGTTAAACTTGGGAAGGTTTAACATCAGGCAGGCTGCGGCGTTCTGGATAAGTTCCAGGGGTTTGATGGCACATTCGGGGAGCCCAGCCAATAGAATTCCAGACGGGATATGACGAGTGCCTGGATTAGGACCTGCGCCGCTTCCTGTGTGAGGAAAGGTCATATTCTACAGATGTTGTAGAGCATGAAGCTGCAGGAGTAAGTCACTGCTTTGATGTTTGCAGCGAACGACTGGGAGTTGTCCAGGGTCACGCCAAGGATATTTATTTATTTAGGTGAAAAAATTGAAATTAGCAGATAGAATTGAAGTCTATCAAATTACCTGCATCATTTCTAATCCCATCCCATCATATATATATATATATATATATATATATATATATATATATATATATATATATATATACACACACACACACACACACACACACACACACACACACACACACACATACTACCATTCAAAAGTTTGGGGTCACTTAGAAATGTCCTTGTTTTCGAAAGAAAAGCAATTTTTTGTCCATTAAAATAACATAAAATTGATCAGAAATACAGTGTGGACATTGTTAATGTTGTAAATGGCTATTGTAGCTGGAAACGGCTGATTTTTAATGGAATATCTACATAGGCATACAGAGGTCCATTATCAGCAACCATCAATCCTGTGTTCCAATGGCACGTTGTGTTTGCTAATCCAAGTTTATCATTTTAAAAAGGCTAATTGATCATTAGAAAACCTGTTTGCAATTATGTTAGCACAGCTGAAAACTGCTGTGCTGATTAAAGAAGCAATAAAACTGCCCTTCTTTAGACTAGTTGAGTATCTGGAGCATCAGCAATTGGGGGTTCGATTACAGGCTCAAAATGGCCAGAAACAAATAACTTTCTTCTGAAACTTGTCAGTCTATTCTTGTTCTGAGAAATGAAGGCTATTCCATGCGAGAAATTGCCAAGAAACTGAAGATCTCGTACAACGCTGTGTACTACTCCCTTCCAAAAACAGCGCAAACTGGCTCTAACCAGAATAGAAAGAGGAGTGGGAGGCCCCGGTGCACAACTGAGCAAGAGGACAAATACATTAGTGTCTAGTTTGAGAAACAGATGCCTCACAGGTCCTCAACTGGCAGCTTCATTAAATAGTACCCGCAAAACACCAGTCTCAACGTCAACAGTGAAGAGGCGACTCCGGGATACTGACCTTCTAGGTAGAGTTGCAAAGAAAAAGCCATATCTCAGACTGGCCAATAAAAATAAAAGATTAAGATGGGCAAATGAACACAGACACTGGACAGAGGAAGATTGGAAAAAAGTGTTATGGACAGACGAATCGAAGTTTGAGGTGTTCGGATCACAAAGAAGAACATTTGTGAAACGCAAACCAAATGAAAAGATGCTGGAGGAGTGCTTGATGCCATCCGTCAAGCATGGTGGAGGCAATGTGATGGTCTGGGGGTTCTTTGGTGGTGGTAAAGTTGGAGATTTGTAAAGGACAAAAGGGATCTTGAAGAAGGAAGGCTATCACTCCATTTTGCAACGCCATGCCATACCCTGTAGACGGCGCTTGATTGGAGCCAATTTCCTCCTACAACCGGACAATGACCCAAAGCACAGCTCCAAACTATGCAATAACTATTTAGGGAAGAAGCAGTCAGCTGGTATTCTGTCTATAATGGAGTGGCCTGCACAGTCACCGGATCTCAACCCTATTAAGCTGTTGTGGGAGAAGCTTGACCGTATGGTACGTAAAAAGTGCCCATCAAGTCAATCCAACTTGTGGGAGGTGCTTCAGGAAGCATGGGGTGAAATCTCTTCAGATTACCTCAACAAATTGACAACTAGAATGCCAAAGGTCTGCAAGGCTGTAATTGCTGCAAATTAAGGATTATTTGACGGAAGCAAAGTTTGAAGAACACAATTATTATTTATATTAAAAATCATTATTTCTAACCTTGTCAATGACTACATTTCCTATGCATTTTGCTATATTTCCAATACAAACTCATTTCATGTATGTTTTCATGGAAAACAAGGACATTTCTAAGTGACCCTAAACTTTTGAACTGTAGTGTGTGTATGTATATATATATATATATATATATATATATATATACACACACACACACACACACATACACACATATACACATACATACACTGCTCAAAAAATAAAGGGAACACTTAAACAACACAATGTAACTCCAAGTCAATCACACTTCTGTGAAATCAAACTGTCCACTTAGGAAGCAACACTGAT